CACTGCACACATATCCACAACACTCTCACACAGCCAGAGTATTTAATGTCCTTTTTCTACAAGTTGGCACAAACTGCAAATAAAGGGAGATAGAGGGAGCTTACCATAAAAGGAAAGTTTTTTATGTCATCTTCCTTGTACAGACCCTACAGAGCATGTAATTTAGGCTTGATATGTCCAATTTCTGACAACAAAAAAAACACTTTTTAAAACATTTTCTAAAGCATGATAAAAATCCATAGGAATTTTGATTTTTGACATTCCTACAGCAAATGCTGCAGGGAAGGTTTTACATTTGTCAATAATGAGATTAAGAGGCATAATATAGGTCTGAATAAGACATGTTAGTGTGCATTAGAGAGATCTCAGATCTGCAGTTGTGTCATCACACACCATGTTATATAGAGATAGCATATGGCCAAAAATTTCAATTTTCTGATAGACCTTCATAATGAATCAAATGGCCTTGGAACTTCATCAAAGGCCAGTAAACCTCCACCATACATATTCTGGCAAAAGAGAGCTGGTACCCTATTTAAAGAAAACTCGCCAAGGAGTTTTACAAGGCCTGACTTACCAGAATGTATGTGATAGGAGTTTTTTTGACCAATGTTTTGGTGATCATTGGGGTCACATGATTATATGACTATGTGAAGAATTACATGAATTGACCAACTATTATAAAAAATATTGCCCTAGAAAGTATATATATGTTTTTTTGCCTTTGTTCCTTTATGTTTGAATTTGCCTTCAGTTCTCTCATACATGCTATAAATTCCTAATTTAACCACATGCCGCTGGGGATGGCATGTGCGTACATGCCCACAGTGTGTTTAATTTAGTAATTGATTTTAGATATAGAGGCTCCACAAGTACTAGGTCACCAATGAGCCAGTTACAAGAAGTACCTGTCTCACCTGTTTACCCTTTTCCTTGATTTTGGATAATATTTTCTAGTATTTGATGCTGCTGTTAGTAATGTCAATAATTATGATGATTGTAACAAAAATAATAGTATCAATATTGATAGCATTTTCCCGCTATTTCAAGGAAAGGTGAGGTCACAAGATCCTCTAATTGACTCTCTTTTGGCTAAGCACTGGTAGACCCATCTCTGTGCAGAAATATTTAACAAAACAATGCTAAAGTGAACACAACATTTTCCCGGCAGCATTGGGTTAATTAGTAAAATGAATGTATGAGTTAGCTTGCTATATGTATCGAAGAAGTTCACCCAGCACTTTGAGTATTTTTTAACCAACTTGAAAAGTTTGAGGTACTACACAGAATGATTGTCTTGATTACTTTTATGTTTTGCTGGGTGAATATATAACAAAAGAATCATGAAATACAAGTGTCTACTGGATTTGCTATCAAACCAGTTTTTAATAAGGAAGCCACAAAGAAAATGGACTGGAAAATTATCCACTCAAACTTAGACCAACTGTTATTAGCATTGCCACTGACTCTAATTGTGATTATCGTAGTTATTTACAGATATTTTTTATTTTTCCAGGGTTACTAAGTCGGTAGGGAATCCTTTTAAAGTTCTAGTTGAGGGTGAAACCTCAGATGGAAGGAACTGTCGAGTTTGGACTCAAGTGCTTGATCGCTATGATGGGTCATATATTGTTAGGTAAGTTCTTGGTTTTCTGCATTCTTGCTCTATATCACCTTTTGATATAGTAGAAGACAAATGGTTTTTAAGGGTTACATTTAGTGCAGATTGTAAAGTTGTAATGCCAGCTAAGGAGATCCACTGACCTGACACTTGAAGACCTATAACTAGTGTGATATTTGTTATAAAAAATTGTATTCTTACCCTTATCAAAAATGTTTAATTGAAATCATTTTGATTGACTCTAGGTATCGCACATACCAGACATGTACAAAAACCAGCATTCATGTGCTCTACAACAGTCAGCACATAGCAGAGTCACCTTACAAGATAGCAGGTATATATATTATATATTTTTTTTTTTGCATTTTTGGTTAAGGTCATTAGATAACTGACATTACTAAAGACAAATCAATATTTTTTTTATTATTTTTTATTTTTAAGTAAGGGCATGCACTATATATTTACATGAAATTACTTGCTCTCTGAATACTTATCAGTATTGTATCATTGGTGCAGGTCCAGTGTATGCTGAAGATTGTTACTGCCCAAATGGTGATACAGTGGAATGGAAGGAGACTGTAGGATGTCCAGGCAACTATTCACAGATCGAGAGAGATCTTTCACTCTTTCAGGAAGTAGACTTTGATAACGTTCTAAAAGAAGCAGCAGTAAGATTCAATCAGGCTGGATCTCGCAGTTTTTGTAACTACGTTGTTAAAGATAACAAAGTTAGTTCCTTGGTCTGTATGTTATTGCGTTATATAAAAGATTTATAATGATAAGACTTTGGAAGTATAATATAGTTTTTGATTTGCAAAAATATCAGTAAGCCTTTTTTTTTCCAAAATATTTATTCCCCCAGTGCTTCCATAGTTTGCATGAAGCATCAGATATGTATGTAAAATGTATGTGAATTCTATGATTCTTAATTTAGTGATATCTTTCATATTAAAACAGATCTACCGAAAGTGCTATGGCCAGCATGTGGGCTTCAATATGTTCATGGATAACATGCTTCACTCCATGGTGCGGAAGATGGTGCTTCCTGATATTGAATTCATTGTTAATCTTGGTGACTGGCCATTAGTGGATCCCAAAGTAAGTCACAAAAATAGTAGATTTGTAATTAACAGCTATGAGAATAATACTAGAGGAGGTTTAAGTAGGAAGAAGATATGGGTGATGGGAAATTTACTAAAGAATGGAAAGCTTATTACTATATGAAAGAGCAATAGTACCCTGAAACTGCACTATAAAGAACTCCCAGATTAAAATCTATACAGGACGTATTAGATACATCATGGCAGACAACAACATTTCTGCTTGTAAATTTTTATGTAACACTTTCCTTGGACAGATGATAAGTAAGTAAAAGATTTTAAAAATATATATGATGATTATTTACATGGCAGAGTTGGTTGCATTAATGTCATCACTCAGTGTAAGAAAAATACTGTCTCTGCTTTATTAATGTTAGTATAGAGATTTTATGTCCCTCATGCAATTTTCTACACAAAATTATTTTATCTACTAGATCAATTAATTGGTTTAAGTACATTTACATGTCTGCGTGTGTTTTATATGAATGTAGGTATGTTTTTATATATGTGTATGATATATAAGTACATATGTGTGCTTGTGTGCTGGTACTAATGTATGTATGTATTTGTATTTATATATGTATATGATTTTACACACACACACACACACACACACACACACACACACACACACACACACACACACACACACACACACACACACACACACACACACACACACACACACACACACACACACACACACACACACACACACACACACACACACACACACACACACACACACACACACACACACACATTATATACATATATACATATATACATATATACATACTTGAGTATTAGTCATCTATTACATTGTAAACACACAAATTACCATAATTTAGAGTCTGGTCCTTTCCTCAAACTTGACCCTAACACAATCTTTGTCTGGCTTAAGGGCAGAATCATTATTGAATCTAAGAGTACGATGCAGTTCTGACTATGGTGCTCTCACCTCACTAGTTCTGATCACTTCAATGCTTTTTTATGAACAGGTAAAGCCATTGATACCAATATTTTCATGGTGTGCATCAGAAGACACAGCAGACATTGTGATGCCAACTTATGACATCACAGAAGCAACATTAGAGATGATGGGAAGGTATGGCATTTTTCACATGAATCAGTATATATTATATACAGGCCTATCTTTGCAAAGGCTGAAAGTGTTAGGCATTAAGTGTATTTTCATTGCACTTTGCATGCAGCGATGTTCTTGTAATAAGATGGTTTAAGTGTAATAGTGTAGCAAATTTTGTTTAATGCAAATGTGGATGTTATTATTAAATTGTTGAGTATATATTTTCTTTACATAGTTTTTGAATATATATTTCTATGCATATTTTTATTTATTTATTTATTTATTTATTTATTTTAAGCCAGTTTAGTTGGTGGCATTATTGCTGACTGATTTAAACACATTTGAATGTCAAGCCTAGTTGATCAATAACAAAAGATTTTGATATGGAATCTTATGAATTCACCATTATAGGTTCTTATAAGTTTTTGATAATAGTAAGTTATCCATTATGTATAAGAAATATAAATATAATTTTGCCGATGAATTGAAAAGGAACTTTTATAAATTTCTGTGATCAGTAATTATGAAATGAGGTGTTGTCTGTTCATGTTAGTTTCAATTTGATATATGGATCTCACCATATCTTTCCCAGCATTGACTCAAATTAGTAATCACATTGTTCAAACAAGAAAACTGCTCTGACACACAAAGATAAATTGAATGCCATGGAAAGCAGTTAAAGGAAAGCAGCATGAAGAACTGAAATGTTTTCCATTTGGAAATTGCAAATTGATCCTACTGGAGTATTAGTGCAGTTATGAAAGAATATGGCCTGAGCTGTTATGGTAAACTGCTAACTCCCTACTGGTTTCTTTTGAGCATATGTTTCCTGCAGTTCTTTGCCTCTTGCTTTCAGGGTAAACCAGATCTTCAGCATTTGGCAAAGCTCACAGATTGACCTGATTTTCATATCTGTGTTTATTATATTTTTCTTATTCTTTTATATGACTTCTTTGGACAAGTGATAAAGTGAGGATACACCAATCTTTATTTTAAAAGATTGTAATGGTTAGAGGCATTAACTTTGGTGTTTTGTAACCCTCAGTATGATGCTTTGAAAACTGCGGTCAGTACTAACCCTCAGTATGAT